GATCCTGCCCCAAACTGCTGATCCTGCCCCAAACTGCTCACAGGAAGGGCAGGAGAAGATCCCTTTATGGCCACTTCACCCAACTGCCTCTGTCCCAAGGGCTGGAGGCCACAGCAGATCAATTCCAAGCAGAACAACTCAACCAGTGTCTGATGCTGCTTGAGGCAGGTTTTGATGAAACTGGTTAAAACTCTGGTTACTTCTGGCACCTTTTCTGTGCTGCAGCGCCCAGCAGGGAGCACGAAGCAAAAAGGGAAGCTGAGGGTGTCACTGGAAGCACAGAGATGAAGTGTGTTCCTTCTTGTTGAGCAGGCAGGAGCAGAACCACCAGCCCAGCTCCTGCCCTTGGCCTTGAAGAATAATTATTGGTTATTTCTCTTAAAATCAGGTTTACAAATCTGCATTTGCCTTCTGGGCAAACAAAGAAAGAAACCCCCAAGAATTAAGAAGCACCCCTTGCTTTATGCTGCCCCCTTCATGGGCAGCTCGCTGAGCCAGGGTCTGCTCTGTTGTTCACCTTGGTTTCCTGCATATCTGTGGTGTTGTCAGAACAGTCATAGTAAATATGGTGATAAAAAAAGCAAGACCAGGATGTGAGTCATCTGTGAAGGGAGATCTGCCACAAACAGACCTAATCTGGGCTTGGTTTATTTTCTTGTTTTAAAACCTTCCAGACAGACACAGTGATGCTCCATTTAATTTGATAGTATTTGGAGGCTTCTTGTATTTGCACTGTGGTTTTTTCCTACCTATCCCAGCTGAAGTACATGTGTAGAGCCACCCAAACAGTCCCAGGCTTTTGAATTATACTTTATAATTAATTGCAGCTGTGGATACTTTGTTTGGAGCAATAGTAAAAAATTAATTTAGAATTGATACAAGTACCAATTTTGGAGTGGGAGTCAAGATCCAGATGGAAAGACAGGTTGTGTATATTACTGGATTATCATAATTGATAACATTATTTCCAATAAAATATTTTGAAGACCACAGTTCTATGGTAAAAATCCAAAATAAATTCAGTTAAATTGAGGGATTTGCTGCCAATTTACACTGTTGTAAATTTGATCTAAAGAGACAAAACATTGTTCAGTGTTTCATTTTAGATTTCCTTTAAGTATCTGGGGAGGAGGGTGTTCTCATGGGTTACAAAATAAGAAGAGTATGTAAATTAGTTCAGGTGGTTGTCAGTAAGAATGAGGGGTAAAATGACTCAGATTCAGTTTATTTCAGTCTTTATAGTTTTAATCCTTAAAAAGGAAAAAATACAAGCTCCCAGGGAAGTGGTCACAGCACCAAACCTGCCTGAGTTCCAAAAGTGTTTGGATGATGCTCTCAGGCACATGGGGTGATTCTTGGGGTGCCCTACACTGGGACAGGAGTTGGGCTTGATGAACCTGATGGGTCCCTTCCAACTCAGCATAGGCTATGATTCTATGAAAAGCTGAATAAAGCACTTGGATTTGTTTACACATGGGCTTTCAAACAAGCTTCACTCAGCCCTGAAGTAAAAACGGAGGACAGCACGGTGGGAACAGCTGAGAAACCCCACCTGCTTGAAGGAAATATCTTTTTGTCCTAAGCTGAGCAGGGGTGCTTTCCATAGCAACACATGCTGGACTAGAAAAATAAACCCAAACCTATCACTGAAACTCAATCAAGAACCATTTATTTAAACTTTAAGGGAGCATGGCTCTGCTTCAGCCACCTGGATTGATCATCACAGGGGAAATCCAGAATAGCTTGATTTCTTTGAAGCTTCCTCACATGAATGAAGATGTTGGAGGATAACAGCAGTGGTTGGCTGAGGTCCATTGTGGAAAGGTGTGGGATGTTCTGCTGAATTGATGTCAGATTGGGACTGTGATGTAGGCCAGTTTGTTGATAAACAGTCCAGTGCTTTTTATCAAATGGATGTAACTGAGAGAGTCCTCTGAGCTCCACAGGAAAGCTGCAGCAGATAGTGAAATGCTGAGCTTTTCTCTGCTTCCAGAATGTTTGGCTGAGATAGGAGCCTGGATGAGAAGCCAGTGGCTGAGGCTAAGTCCAGATAAGGAGAAGGTAATTCCAGTTGGCAAGGTAAAGCAAATAGAGGCTTTATCTTTTCTGTATAAAAACATTTGCTAAAATTATGAATTCAGGTTTACTAACTCAGCATGCAAAAGGCTTAGAAGATCTCTCATGGACAATCTGTGTAGTTACTGCAGTTGTATGTGGAGCCCTGGAGGTGGCACACCTGGATTGTGTCAGTGATGTACTCACACAGTTCTGTAAAAAACAAACACCCCAAAACTTGAAGGATTCTGCTTTTCTTGTTACTTATTAAAATGATAAGAAAATGTAATTCAGGTCTGCTCTGGCAACAAAGACTAGGGCAAGAGTGTACTCCAGAGACTTAAAATCCTTGTGAAGAGCATTTCCAGCAGCTCCCTCTCCCTTGTACTAAAAGGTCTTTGAAACCACAGTCTCCCTCTCTTGTTACAAGATACTTCAGAGCTTAGCACAGACATCCACTGCAGTTGACATTTTTACATATGTGCCATGATTCTTAGCAATGCTTCTTCAGTTCTTTACCAATGCATTGCAGAAAACCACTTTTGTCCTTGTGGGGACACAAGGGGAATCCAGTCAAGGCCCAGGGAAGTGTCAGCCTTTGAATTGTTTAACCTGTGTCCTCACAGGAAATGTCTGAATTTAATGCCAAGTGAAAACAACACCACCCAGCTTGGTGGGAGACCTCTGTGTGTGGGGAGAAAGAGGTGAAGTTCAGGAAAATGGTGAACTTTACATTGGAGACATTAACTAAGAGCTTGACAGTCCAATTCCACCGTTCCTTTGGTTAAGTTTTTGTCACTGAAGCCTCCATTTGTATTGTTGGCTGTGAGTAATTAAATGTAATGGCATGTGCTCTTGGCTCACATGTGTGCTGTGCCAGATGGAGGAACCAACCCACAGGCTTCTTCAGAGCTAGTGTCTGTTTACTGGCAGCTGAAACCAGCCATTCCAAAGATAGTGTTTTCCTGAATCAGTTTGTTTGGGCATTTCCTGCACGAACCTCATGGAGTAGCAGAAGATTTGAGTACTAAGTAGTATCTGCCTTAAATTTCAGAGAAGAATGTGAGTAACAAGAGTCAGATAGCAATAGTTGAGAATGTAATCAGCAGTGGTGTTATGATGGAACAGCCTTGATCTCTTCCTGGAATGTTTGTTACCATGAAGAGAGTTTTTCTTTCTCAGCACAGCTCCCCATGGACAAGTGTCCACAGCAAAAAATACAGCATCATTTAGCTCCAGAGTGGGCACTGACCATGGGTAACTATTAGTTGCTAATTTCTCCATCACATGTGGAGATTCAGACACCTATTTTTCTCTACTTGACCTTCTTAGTTGACTGAACAATTTAAAATAATTTTCCTGGAGTAATACTTTCACTGATGAAACAGAAATGACACTCAATTTCACTATGCTCATCTCCTGATTTTTTAATTCTGTAGGCCATAACATTTTGTGATATATTAATACTGAACAAGCAGAAGAATGAGGAGCTGCAGAGAGGGATTCTATGCTGCTAATTCATGGGTTTCATTACTTTTTTAATCAAGAATGTTGATATACACAGTCTGCCTGGCTTCTAAAATTGAAGTCATTTGACGTGCAGTCAATATTCACTTGCAACCTTGGTTTATGTCTTCAAATATAAAAATAATGAATATACAATAAAAATAATGCATAAAAATATAGAATTATGACGTTTTTTTAACCACAATTGCAGTGGATTCAGTGGCTTTCCCCTCTACAGCTGTAATTCCCATCACTGCACATAATGAGCAGTATTTTGTGAGCCCAAGCTTTATTCTTACTGGCACAGATTTTGGTTTTGGCTGTTGAATCTCCAGCATTTAAAAGGTTTGCTGGTAAATTGCAGATAAAGGCATAATAAAAGCATTGTTTGTCACTATTAGGATATGTTCTTTCATATGCACACATCCTTGAGTGGAGTGGGTGTACATACAGATGTACAGACTAAATAACACACCTAATTGAGATTAATTAGGAAAGCTACTATTACATGCACCTAATTAACATGAATTTGTTAGAAAAGCTACTGTTTTATAAGGTGTGAATTATGAATAATTGTTTTTCTAAACATTACTGTAGTGCTTTTCTTTGAATAGATCATAGAATCAGATGAACAATGTCTTATATTGATGGGAAAATTAAGAATTTGGCCCTTTCATGTTGTTGTCTCTTTAGTAAAATAATTCAATGCTATTCTTGTTCCTTGAATTAGGCATATTATGTAGATTTACAAGGCACCTTTTTACACTGAAGGTTAAGTGCTGTATTAACAAGTTATGTTACTAGATTGAAGTACCTGCTCTGTTTTAAGCTTTCAGAGTACAATTCATATTTTCTGCTTCAAGTAGCAGAAAAACAGGACATTTAGACTGAGACCTCTGAAACCCACTGCAAGCCATTCATCTCTGTAAGAATTGCTCTGAATTATTTTTGATCTGCTATGTTGACAGGGAAGCTTGCATGCCATTTATTACATAAAGCTTCCATGTCTAGGAAAATACACAACACAGTGCACGTGGCACTTGGCAGCTAATCCACCAGGGTTTTTTTGGACATGCTCATCACTCAGTGACACAAAGTATTTTGACATCATCTTCAAAAATGCGTTTTCAAGTACAGAGCTGTTGAACACTGACATTCACTGAGTATTTCTTCTACCTTTTATTAGTAACAAAGCCTGGTGCTTGTCTCCCTTCTGCTTTATGCCTGTCACAAAACCAGCTGTTTGCTCATCAGTTAAGTAAATACAAAATTTGTCATTTGATAGTTTGAATAAAAGGATCTGGTTGTTCTTTGGGAAAAGCTGGGGAGCTGAATACATTTACAGAGGAAAAACATAGGAAACAAAAGAATTTCCTAAAAGTAAAAAAATTACTCTTCACTGTTGCTTCAGCTGACATGCCCTGCACAAGGGCAAGTAGACATGTAGTCTCTGTCGGGCCTCATCTGATTGTAGATAAGTTAATCAGTGTTTTACATAACTAAATCTTTGACATCTTCCAGCAGAGTCCTGCACCTCAGGGAGTGATTCAGTGTAGTTCACCACATTTGGAGGTGTTTGTGGTTTGTACTTCTACAGGCCTCCTTTTCAAAATTAAGCATTGAATTCAAAGTCACTCCATCATTTTGCTCTAAATGTGCTTTCAGTTGCACTTACAAATAGTTTTCATTGAAACTAGTCAAAACCTTGCAGGTAAAAAAAATGAATTGTTGCATAGTCTGTCTTTCCATTGTAGTTACAAGTGAAAAATCCCAAACAACCCCATAACACCAACACAGCAGAAATGACAATGTTTTAATCCTGCACATGGAGGTAAATAGTGCAATTCAAGACCATATTTCTAGCTCATGTTTCAGTCATTCTGCTATTTTCTTTCATCTTTCAGTCACATTCTCAGATTCCCCTTTCTGGTTAGCTGACAGATAAGAAGGAAGAGCAACACTTAACTACACTGGCTGCTTTTGTACCTCCACAGGCAGCCAGGGCTGGTAAAATGAAGCACACTTACAGGCACCGTTCCTGCTCCGGTGGGTGCAGGTGGCCAGGCTGCAGGGTCGTGCTGGGGGGCTCCAGACCGTTTTCAGCTGCTTGTAGAAATGCACCAAGGTATTTGCCTTCACACTCTTCATTGCTCTCACCTTGGCACTTCAAGTCTTCAGCTCCTCAAGCAGCCAGAGGAGCTTCCCTGAGTCTGGTGACCTGTCCACACGAAGTGGAGGAAGAAAACCCTGTGGCTCTGCAGCTTCAAGACAACTTGGGTGTCTCCAGACAAAATCTGAGAGCACCCTTTTCTGGTTGGAGAGGTGGAGCTAACCAGGTGGTTAATTTTCAACTTATCCCTGGACTGGCTTCTTCATTGGCTCTACCTTTGTTGGAGGGCCAGCTGGTTGATGATTATTCTCTGTGTGCTTTCCAGGGTCTTTCTCTTCAAGCTCCAACACTGAAGGGTGACAGAAACCCCTCTTTGTGTTTCTTATCATTCCTTCATGCATAAATGCTTTGAATTTGAATGGTTGTATATTTGAATACTGATAGCTAGCAATTGCTGTCATTAACAGCTGTAATTCTGAGGATGGGTGAGGCATAAACTGAGGAATTCACAGAAACCTGGTAGACACCCAAGGCTTGCCCAGCAGACCAGGAAGGGGAGCAGCCTCCATCAGAGGAGTCTTTTGGCTCTGAGCTGTAATATGGGACCTCGAGCCTCAAGGTGAGGAACTTGTTCTTCTGAACTATCAGATGTCCCATAAGAGGGTTAATTTTGTACAGACTAGGAATAGGAACAGACATAAGGAGCCATAATTACTCCTCCCACTCACACACCACTTTGAGCCACCTGAAGCATTTTTTTTTTCTCCGGTGAGGAGATTTAGATGTTTTACTGACCTGTGTTTCTTGGAGATGAAAGCACAAAGAATGTTTCCCCTCATTATTTCCACATGCAATTCCAGTAACTTTGTTATTTCACATGAAAGATCCATATAAAAATCCCATCCTTTCATTTTCTTGGGGATGTTTGCTCTTCCCTCCATAGCTGGAACCCATGTGAGTGGCACAGACACAAGCAGCTGCTGAGTTAGAGCTGTAGTTTCTTGGGCCAAGCAATTAATTTTCTGAAGACTTCTTATAATGCTACAGGCTATAAGAGACCAAATGGGAATGAGGATGGAGAGCCATTAGGAAAGGCTGCCTGGCCATGCCAGGGAGCAGCAGGAGCCAGCTGCTCTCCAGGGACAGAGCAAGGGGAAGCCAAGGATGACCCAGCACAGGCAGTGCCCCCAGCAGCAGTGTCACCCCAGAGGCTGAGCTGGCTGCCAGGAAAAGGGTCTGTTGACAGTTCCAGGCACAGCAAGTGACAAACCAGGTCCAAGGTCCAACAGGAGAACTCAAGACAGGAGCAAAAGGAGACAAAAAGAAGCAACAATAAGAGTTCAAAGTCTCTCCTAGAGACAGTGCTAAAGACAACCCCAAAGATAAGCACCCTCCCCAGAGAGGTGAGGGGCCCAGGCCTGGGCTTAAATGGGCTCCTGGCCCATGGGCAAGGCTGTGGGTGGAGGCTGCAGGTGAGGCTTGTCAGGACCATAAAAACCTGTTAGTGAGCTCAGGGTCACAACAACACAAAAGTGTTGTGGGGTCTTCAGTAATTCTTGCGTAAGTATTTGTACAATTACTGTGATTATTTTCCTCCATTAAGTACACAGGAGGGCATACCTTGAAAGCTACAGAAACTATCAATGACAGAGCAAGTGAAATTATTAGACTATTAACATTATGCCATTAACACCCACTCCTTTCTTAATCCATATATTTATTTGTGAAATATTTTAAATAGTTATTTTTTTATTTCACAAATACTGGTGTTTTGCATTAAAAACATATTTGCTTGATGATATTTTCATACTACAGATGCAGGTTTGTCAGCTCTTATCACACAGGGTGTGAGTGCAAGGCTCAAGGAACCCTCTCTGGAATCCTAAAGGGGCAAGTTTATCTGTGCTATTTACTATTCCAAAACCTACTGTTAAGGAGTCTTTCTTAATGCTTGTCATTTATTATCTCAGCTGCCTGCTGCAGTGTCTAAGAAGCCATCACCAGCTGGGGGTTCTGCCTGAAGAACTGCAAGATGAAATTTCTATTGTTGCTCATAATTGTGGGTAATTACATTTGTGGAGTGTGACTGTATACAATGGAAAGGTGCTTATTCTGCCTTCACAGAAACTAGAGAAGTACAGAGCTAGAAATTCTTGCTGCCACTACCCATGGGAATTTTGCTCTGTACTAGACAGGATCAATATTTTGGTTTGTTTCTGATGCTCACTAGGGGGTCACCAGGACTTCAGACGAATGCTGTTACTTGCAGAGAGAAAATTCCCTGTCTGATTTAGTGTTTCAAGAAGTCTGATTATCCTGGCATCGTGCTGGCAAGGGTGTTTCTGTCCTCATCTTGTCTCAGTTGCAGCACTGGCAAGTCAAACCCAACAACTGAGGAAAAGTCACTTGATGTGCTGGCCAGGTTCCTTTTATACAGCCCACTGTGCCATTAACCTTCAGCACTGCATGGGTACGTGTTCAGCTTGTCTTCCAGGGTCTGCTGTGCTTTTCTCCAGAGCTTTTCCCCCTAGCAGTCAGTCCCCAGGTTCTACCAAAGCATGGGATTACCCCATCCCAAGTGCAGGACATTGTGAGCCATCAGGTCTGCTCTGGATGGCAGCCCTGCTGTCCTGCAGGTGACAAACACAGTGTTACTTGGAAATCTGCTGAGGGGCTATTCCAGCACTCTGCCCACTCATGAAGATTTACACTCAGTTCATTTTACTTCTCACACCTTAAAAAATGGGGTTATGTCCCAAATATCTAAATGGATGCAGGTCCAGAACTAGGAGATGGTCAAGTTCTGCTCATTAATGAGGCATTAATTGAATAGCAGCATTAATGAGGCATCATTGCTGTGTGACATTTTGTGTCTGGATTTCTGAAAAAAATACCTGAAGGTGGGGAGCACACACTGAATGAAAAGGCAGTTCTCAGGCAACCCTCACTCTGCAGAAAAGGATAAAACCTAAAATCACTAATTGTAGTGAGCTCCCCTTCAGGCTTTCTATAATCCCAATGGATTAAAAAAGACTTGCTGGTGATATTGGTACCTGACCAAGTAAACATGGTCTTTGGCAAACCTGAGCGAGGCTGGGCAAACTAGCAAATACTGGGCAGAGATATCAGCTGTGGGACAGGGGAAAGGGCAGCAGGACAGCTGGGAGCGTGATCCTGGGAAGATCAGTCAGGACACAGCAAACACAGAGCTTGTTAGGATGGCAGATTTCTGAGAAGGGGAATAGCCTGCTATCATTTATTTCCCCCCCCCCCACGATGTATGCAGGGAGATGAAACAGTGTGCAAATAAATAAGGGAACACTGAGATAATGCCTGACCCTTCTCATCTTATTTCTTAGACTGGTAAAAAATGACCTTACAAGGCCATGAACTTTGACCAGCTAGATGACCAAATATGTAACCATGTTTTTCTCTTTGCTGTGGGAATTCAAGGCCTTTTCTTTCATCCTCAATTCTGAAAATTAGCAAGATCTTCATTGAATGAAATGGAGTGTCCCCAGCATAAACCAGCAGTGAGATCAGAGATCAGAAAAGGTCTGGGCCTTGTTCTGAGTCATCAAGGTAGCTGAAATAGGCTCAGGAGCAAAACCCACTTGATCCTGACCTGTTTTCTGTAGCGAACAAAGAACAGTTCTCAGAGAATTGAAACCAGACACGGTGTCTGAAAAGTAAGTGATGAGGAAGCATGAATTAGGAGGAGGAAAACTGACAACTGGTTTTAACAGCAGATAAGTTGCCTCCTGTGATCACACGGATGTGTTTGTGTCCCTCTCCAGTTATGAGAATCAGTATATAGAAAATGGGTAAAGAAACTCAACAGAAACTGAATTGACAGGGGAACTTCAAGTACTCCTTTTGTTTTAGTAGCAGAGGATGGGATCAGGGATTTTATCCACAGGAAACAAAACTATTCCTACAGAATTCTTATGACAAACACCCTGGAGCTACTTCTGTGCCCTGATCACATCTTCTGTGTTCTTCATGTCTTTGTTTCTATATTCTCATGCTTAGCAGCGAATATAATTATGAATGTCTGTCACTTGTTTAAACAAATGCTTTGTTTGGCAACCTTTGTTTTCCTGCTGCTGGTGCAGCTGCAAAATTGTGTGCACAGTGTGTTAATTTTTTACCTTTGATGCTATGGTAAGTTGTTTTTTTTCCTTACAAAACAAGAAAAAAAAGAAACTGATGAATGAGATACCCATCTCTCCTGATCCGTAAAAAACATGTGAAAGCAGCAACTTTCTTAGGGAACAATAGTAAATGAATGCTGATACAATGGTAAAATAAGCTAGATATTTCCTGGAACCAAATGGTTCTTCATAACATGACAGAAAAAAGTTGGCACATACATAAAATGCAAGACAGAGACAAAAAAAGAAAAAAAAAGAGGATAAAAAAGGTGAGGAAATAAACCAACAAGAAATATATTGTTATTTTATTAGTATTTTATTAGGAACAACAGACTAACAGGACAACAGGGTGTATTTTCTTCTATAAAATGAAAATATGAAATTGTTGTGTTAGCACCTTCAAGTTCTTACTCATTTTTTATAAGGGGAAAGGAAAATAAGATTTGATGTAGGCACTGGAGCAAGTTACTGTGGTTTAAATCATAGAATCATAAGTTGGATCATAGAATCTTGGGTTGGATGGGATCTCTAAAGGTTGTTTAGTCTAAACCTTCTACAATCATCAGGGACATCTACAACTAGATCAGGTTGCCCAGTGACCCAACACCCTCATATGAGAGAACTTTTTCCTAATGTCCAACTTAAATCTACCTTTCTCTAGCTTGAAACCATCACCCCTTGTCCTATTGTCCTATGCCCAGAGAACAGCTCTTCCCCAGCCTTCTTATAGGCTCCTTTCAGGTACTGGAAGGAAATTTCTTCACTGAAAGAGTGGTGAGGCACTGGAACAGGCTGCCCAGGGAGGTGGTGGAGGCATCATCCCTGGAGGTGTTCATAAATGGGTAGATGTGGTGCTGCAGGAGGTGCTTTAGTGGTCATGAGGG